TCCTAGGGGCCTGCCGGAATCGAGTAAAAGCTACTGTAACTGTTAGGCGGGTCACCACTCCTCCCCTCCTGGCAGCGACGACAGAAAGCCATTAGGATACAGCTAGATTGCAGCTTCTGTGCTGAAATCAAATATTCAAAAGGCAAAACATTTAGCACGCCACCCGTGTACCTCTGAGACCGCGTTTTAAGTTGGAGGCCAAGTGCAGGTCCCTGTTAAAGTGAACTTTCTGATCTTGGTTCCGTCCCCGGTGATTACTTGTCCACATTGAAAAACTAAACATTAAACCTGACCCTTTTCTTTTTAAACACAGAGAAGTCTGGGGTGTCATGTTAAAAGATGTTTCCTCCTGTAAAACAGTATCCCTGCGCAATATTTATGGTCGGACCAGAAGGGCCTTGTTTAAAGGCTAGGAAAGGGAGGAAGCAACAGGCCCATGCTGGGAGAGGGGAGAGCAGAGATAAGTATTTTTCTATTAAACCAAATGCAATTGTAATCTTTAAAAATTGATTTTAGAGAGAGGAAGAAAGAGAGAGAGAGAGAGACATCGATTGGCTGCCTCCCGCATGCGCCCTGATGAGGGATGGAACCGGCCACCTTTGGTGCATGGGAAGATGCTCCAACCAACTGAGCCCCCCCCGGCCAGGGCTATTGCTATTGAACAGGTCAAACAGAGCAATGAACTTGGTAAGCTTAGCCAACCTATGTCCTGAAATAGAATGCCATAATTCCATATGATTTCTATTTTTCTTGTTTTCAAGAATTCAACAACAAGCTGGTTAGCTCTTGGAGCTGGAGCCGCCGCAAAGCCCTGCACCCACGGCACTGCCGGGGCCGAGAGGCCTGGGCCCAGACTGGCTTATTTTCTTGCCAACATGTATTTACTTTTAGGCGATTCTTGAACACTGAAATGCCCTAGGTCTGGTACCCAGAGCTGTTAGCATGTCATACTGTAGATATTCACACTAAAGGCAGGATAGCCTCACTTGCAAGTAGTCTTCTTGGAGCTACATACCATGAGCGTGGGGCCTGCTCTGTGCTAAGGAACCACCGTGCGCTGGCATCTCATTTCATTCTCACAGAAACCCTCCGAAGCAGGTGATGGGAAGCCTGACATTCCCCGAGGACGCGCAGATTTAGGATTTACGGCCAGATTTACCACAATCGAAAGTACTGCCCGAGCTGTCTTCTCTTGTTAAGATGCTACTTTGTATATTGTGGATGGAGGTTTTGAGTGCAGTTGTATATTCCAAGCCCCCATAAAGAGGAATTCTATGTAATTCCAAATGTGTCTGAACTCTGCTACCCTCCGGCGGAGGGGCGTGCCAGAGGGCGCAGGCTCACACCTGCTTCCCTGTCCCCAGACCACTGCACTGCCTGCCAGCCACACCTGACCACCCCTTTCTGTGAGAGGAATACGTTTCACCTTTCCCACCTGCCGTGGCTGGAATGTAATGGAATCCCACCACGAGCTCAGCTATGCAGAAACATAACTTTGTCTTTCTCAAATCCACTGATTTTCTATGTGGACTCCTCTTTCTTGTGGCATTGAGGGGAGTTAGTAGAAGCCAAGCAGGAATGAGGAATGGCTACATAATTTGCAAGTTCCCGTGCACAATGAAAAAATGCAAGCCCCTTGGTCAAAACTTAAGAATTGCAAGATGGCCACACTGGAGCCGGCCCATTCCGCATAGAGACCTGTGTGATGGCACAACACCCACCCAGGAGGCCTGCCCTACTGTCCATTTCAAATTCCTTTCATCTCTGTGGCATGTCTCAGTTCTGGGGCTGACCTAGTACACGTCGAGGGCAGGGGGTATCTAGTCCTCAGTGCCTGTTGTCTGTGCTGAGCCAGCCTGTCTCCCTGTCTCCCTGCCTCTCCATCCATAGTCCAAGCGGCTGCCTCATTCTGACCCCTGAGCCCTTTACCTTCTGCCGCTGCTGCAAGGCCCATGGGAGGAGCTTTGAGTCAGCCTCCAACCTGAACACATCCCGGCTCTCAAACCGTCCAATCTATCCAAGGGTATCACCCCCATTCAGAACTTGGCTTGGGGGGAAACACAGGACAGACCCCCCCATCTCTCCGCCTGAAGAATCCTGGCCACTGCCCTCCGGGCCAAGGTACGGCAGAAGCCAGGGAGGGTCCCCTCACTGTCCCTGTTCTGCTTTTGGCACCCACTGATGTGAAGAACATCTGACCATGAGGTTGTCCCAGTGGAGGAGAAGTTATGAAGTCAGGGTGGGGAGGGGAGGGGACAGTGAGATCCTGGGAAGGAAATAATTGGCTATTTTAAATTCATTATCCAGCCACACACATTGTATCTCTAGGCTGTCAAAACTGTGTGTACTAATGAATAAAATAAACTGATGAACAAAATAGATCCAGAGACATAGAAGCATGGAACAGACTGTCAAACCTCAGAGGGAAGGCAGGGGAGGGTGGGTTGGTGGAAAGAGATCAACCAAAGAACTTGTATGCGTATATGCATAACCCCTGGACACAGACAATAGGGAGGGGAAGGCCTGGGGGCGAGGCGAGCTAGAAGAGCTCAATGGGGGGAAAAGGGAGACATATGTAATACTTTCAACAATAAAGATTTAAAAAAAACAACATGTGTATGTGAGCCCCCCCCTCCGGTGGGGGGAAACTCACCACCTCCTTAGCTACCCTATTCCGCTTTTAGAAAGAACTTTTATTACTTTAAATTTCCCCTTCAGTGTTTACAAAAATTAAAATGCATACACAGGTACACACACACACACAGATGCGTGCATACACACACATGCAGGCACACAGATGCGTGCATACACACACATGAAAACACATGCACACACACATGCACACACACGCAGAAACAGGGAGATGACAGAGCCCTTATCTGCACCATGATTCCCTCCCACTTCTGGAAGCAGGAAAGTCATTCTTTTGGGTTTTGTTGGTTGGTTGGTTGGTTTTTTCTTGTTTGTATTTTTTCTTTAGGGTAATGCATACTTTTAATTTTTTAATTTATCCTTATTATTGAAAGTATTATAGATGCCCCTTTTTTCCTCCCATTGACCCCATCCACCCTGCTCCCACCTGCCCCACCCCCAGCCTTCACCTCACTATTGTCTGTCCATGGGTTAGGCGTATCCTATATAATAAAAGCCCAGCGACCAAATGGTGGAACGACCAGAACAACCAGTCCACTATGAAGTGCACTGACCATCAGGGGGCAGAAACTCAGTGCAGGAGCTGCCCCCTGGTGGTCAGTGCACTACCACAGTGGGAGCACCGCTAGGCTAACCAGGATGTGGGGCTGCTCCCATTGCGAACCCCGGGCCGATGGGCAGGAACCCAGGCTGTGACTGTTGACTCCTAACCCCAGGATCTGCCTCCTCTCCCCTGCCACCTCCTCTGAGCGCCCGCAGGCTGCATAGTACTGCCGCCAGGCTCGCAGAGCTGACCCCAGAGGCTGGGAGGCAGGTTCATGGCTGACATGGGACTGAGGCCTACCCCACCACCTCTCAGTGCTATTGTCCCTGGGCCTGGCCCCAACCGGGTCCCCTGGAGAGGCGAGTGCTCCAGCTCCACAGAAGGTGCCAGACCAGGGAGCAGCTGCTCAGAGGGCAGGTCCACTGCCGCTCAGCTGACCGGGATGAGTGGTGCTCCCACAGCAGGCCGATCCCCGCAGGCCACGCCCCCCACCAGTGCATGAATCCCGTGCACTGGGCCTCTGGTATGCATATAAGTTCTTCAGTTGATCCACCATCCATTCCCTCTGAGATATGTCATCCTGTTCCATGAGAAACAGGAAACTCATTTAGTCTTGATATAATTTCCATCTACAGGTCCTTGGGTAACGTGGGCTAATATGGAAGAAATTGTACCATTTCTACCAAAGGGCAAGAAGGGTTCCAAACTTGAGTCACTGAACCAGTTATCACAGCCCCCTTGCTGGTCCTCAAATCACCCCACCCCCAATACACACCGTGAGGTTCCTTTCTCTGTCTCTGTTTTTCTGTCTCTGTATTTCTATCTATCTTGTTTAGCATAAAACTTACCAATCCTTCAATCCTTAAATAATAATTTAGTATATTTTA